TAACAATCGAAATGTCCCTTAGGGACATCCCTCGAATGTCCCTTAGGGATATCCGTCGGATGTCCCAATTGGTACATGAACTGTACTCTTCGAATGTCCTAGAAATAACGTCGTCCTATGGACGTCCCAGTCGGTACTTTCAATATGTTGTCCCTGCGAGGACGTTAACTTACACCTCGCCGACGAATGATGCTCGTAGGCTATAAGTACTCCTCGTCAATGTCCTTCACGTAACTCCATGTGGACATTATTGGGAAACTTTTTGGGAACCTTCTACGGACCATCAACTCAACTGGATGTCCTAATCAGTTATGCAAGATTTGGTCCTAGAGGGACCCAGAAAAATTCGAATTCAAGAATAATCCGTACGTCCCTGGGACATCCTATGGACATCCAATTGATATCCCTCAGCGTTGCTGATAGGTTGTCCTATGGATGTCCTCTGCTTGATGAGGAATACTGTAGGATTTAGGTATTCGATAGTTGTCCCAGGGACATCCCTCAAGGACGTTCCTAGTTGGTCCTCAAGTGGGACATTTTTGCGTCCCACAGACGTCCAATGGACGTCCACGGTACCAAATTCGAACGTCCTATATGGACGTCCTGAATGTCCCGACAGGACGTCCTAAGGATAGCCATGGGACATAAGTGTGTTATTAGGGATGTTATCAATCAATAAAATTTAAAAAACCATATCGTGATATGTCATCAAACTCCATGATTCAATATCAGAAAACCACAAGAAAAATTTTTGTACGGAATGGAATCACTGCAAATCCGATGCAAGTTTGCAGTGTGCCAGTCATTGCCATGTGAAGTATTTATCCTTAATTTTTTAGTTTCTTTAATATTCATGATTCTGAAGCCAATATAAAGTGAGCATCTGAAATCTGAGAACCGAATTAAAATCGTTTTTTCTTGGAAGCTACAATCAGACGAGTCTGAGCGAAAATTTCCACTTCAATTGGAAGGTATTTCGAGCGAGCTTGTGGCGTCAACTTATATTCCGCTATAGGCTAATCAACAGCGACGGTCGAGTATGTATGCGCAAAAACAGGTAGGTACGGTGAATCACTATATATCCCTACCCAAATCCTTCCGACCGATCATCCGCACCTCATCGTTCCTTATGACATCTCTAGAAAAAATTTCATACAGGCATATAAGAGAGAAAAATCCCCATAAATATGCCTACTGAGGAAACCAGATGACGTTTCAGTGACGTCTTTTTAGGTCAGTTGAATGACCAAGGAGTTGACGTCGTATGACGTGAATAAGTCACAGCCCAATTATATTCTATTTTTCTCATAAATATGGCAAATTGAAAATGAAAATCGACCGTTTTCAGCAGATTCCTCAAAAATGCATAATTTGGCTGAAAATAGATTTGTTCATCAGTACTTACGAAAACACTGTAGGTATATTCAAACACAAATTTAGTGCGTAAAATTAACAAACGATGAAAAGGTAATAAAGCGACTGATTTTTCTTATTTGGTCGAATATACGACTTTGTAAGGACGTCATTAAGACGTCCAATATTGAACGTCAATAAGACGTCATGAAATATGACGTCATTTTTTGGTCCCTCTGAAGTCGAGGACGTCATTGACCAATAATGACCTAAAAAATACGTCATTATGACGTCATTTCACTAACCTGTGCTACCTGGGTTACGTCAGATTACTCACGTTCATTGACGTCATTCACCCACCAAACTATGAAGTCGGACTGACGTCGAAATTACGTCAAAATGACGTTCAAATTTGGTGATGATACGTAAAAAACTTCCTCAAACATGGTATGATAAACACCACTGACATTTGATGACATATATAATATTGATTATGCATTGAGTCTGCTTGGTGGTCCATCCGGTGTCATGTCCATCCAATCGTCTATTCAGCAGCGCTATCCCCCAGTTAGCACAGGCGATATCTTATGGATATCCATTTCAAGTCCTATTCAAGGCGGGATATCCGTGGACATAAAATGTACATCCATATAAGATATCCGATTGCGGATGTACTTGAGATATCCGAAACAAACGTCCTGAATACGTCCATATATAGGATATCCATAAGATACAGAGACAAAAGATCAATACCTAGAAATTTCAAATCAAGTATATACAATGAATGAAATGATAAATAAATAGAAGGAGATCCACAAAAGTGACACTTGTGCGTGGATCTTCCAAAAGATAGCACACATTGTGATGCACTATCTGCTATTATAATTAATTCGGTTTTCAACGCGAACAGCGCGATTTATAGATCATCGATACTACCAACCTTGGAGTAATCAAATGATGTCAATATGTTCTCATATTTGTAATTAATTTGAAGTGAATTTGGAAGTGATTCCTACGAATTCGTCCAAAATTGATGGTGCATAAGAACTGACAACTACATTATTCGAAAGCAGTGAGACGTGAGTGCTTCCCAATTTTTGTGATTCTTTCTATATATAGGGTAAACTATCTCATTCATATCCATAGTTGATATCTTATGGATGTCCATAATGAATATCTTTAAGACACGCTGTCACATCCTATGGACGTCCATAGGATATACCAGAGCCTTTTCGGATATCTTATGGACATCCACAATATCCATGATGGATATCCATAGTATATCCATAAGATGTACTTGTGCTATCTGGGCCTTCAGTACGCAACCAAGAATAGTTTGATAGCAATGAAAAGGATGTTGGCGAATTTAGTTTCACTTCTTGTTAAGTAACGTATATTCATGCATTCTCTGTCTCCCAACAAAAATCCAAATAGCGAATTATTGGAAAATTTTCTGAAAGACGAAACTCACCAAATCCGTACGTCACACCGACGTGATTTTTAGACAACAAACATAACAGCACAAATTATCATTTATATATATACATATATATATATAGCTTGGTTGGTTTCCGAGATATTCAGGGTATCAGAGTATGAATAAAAATCTTTCTCTAACTTTTTGTGAACCTATATACAGGGTGTCCCAAAATTGCTGGGACACACAGAGCTATCACGTGTAGAGGAGGTCAAAATAAGTTGATTGGACTTAATTTATTTATGTGCCCAAAAATGTACCGTTTGTCCGTGAGAAGGATGCAAAGTTCACATAAAAACACATTTTTGTACGCTGTTCAGAAATAAGTGAAACGAATTTGATGAAATTTGGCAATAGTGTATTTCAGAGGATTTTTTTTTTGGTGATCGAAGAAACCAGAAAGAAATTGTAGAAGGGTTGAAATCACTCTCACCCCCTGACATTTTTTTCATAATTATTTTCAGGGATCATAATACGGTTCTGTAATTTTTTGAGCTTGAAGACTAATCAATTAGGTACCTTCATTTTATTACTCTTGTAAAAATTTCCTATACCGCATAGTTTCGAAGAAAAAAATTTTTCTCTCAAATAATGCTACCAGATATTCCTATAATACAAGTTTAATTAAATTGTGATATAAAACTTGATAATAATCCGTGCGACTTCATCTTAAGAGCGTTAAAAACACAAATGTATGAAGTTCAAATTGATACACCCGAACAGCTGTGGAACAGAAGCCAAAATACCGTTGACGCACTACGAGACAACGACGCTGTCCTGAGGAGGGGGCATTTCAATTTTTTATGTCGAATTAATATTATTTGTATTGATGAAAGTGTGCGTCATATTGAACATTCATTATGAAGAAACGTTCTGCTTCTGTTTCCACTGCCAACTAAGTTTTATATCACAATTTAATTGAACTTGTACTATAGGAATATCTGGTATAGTATTATTTAAGAGAACTTTTTTTTCTTCGAAACTATGCTGTATACGAAATTTTTACAAGAGAATAAAATGAAGGTAATTGATTAGTCTTATTTAAGCACAAAAAATAACAGAACCGTATTATGATCCCTAAAAAGGTTCTGAAAAAAATGTCAGAGAGCGAGGGTGGTTTCAACTCTTCTACAATTTCTTTCAGGTTTCTTCGATTACCAAAGGGAAAGTAATCCTCTGAAATACACTATTACCAAATTTCATCAAATTTGTTCCACTTATTCACAAAAATGTGTTGTTTTTATGTCAACTTCGAACTCTTCTCACGGAGAAACGGTACATTTCGGCACATAAATAAATTGGGTCCAATCAACTTATTTTGACCTCCTCTACACGTGGTAGCTCTGTGTCCCAGCAATTTTGGGACACCCTGTATATCATACTGAACCCGAGAACCTTATTGGTATGTTGCAAATATTCAAATCGCCATAGACAGATCTTCTATATTAGATATATCTGATATCACTCTGCTGCTGGGCTGAGTGATTCTTATCTTATGCTTCCCAGTTCATGGGAGGAACCAAAACAATGTTTTTCTTAAGTTTTATTACATCAGTTAACAAATTGAAAAATCAGTCAGTACATTAGATACCTATACGTCCTCTAAAACAATGAAAAATATCATGTGAATTATTCACTTATAATATTGCCTATATTCGAATAAGGAATGTAGTTATCCTGAGCGATCACAGATATTCGGAAATTTTTAGCTAAGCTATAAAAATAGGTTTGCAGAAAGACAGTTTTGTTACAAATTTGTCATGCATCTATTATTGTTCAAAGAGGTAAAATTCAATAATGATTATTTTTTCCCCACGTAATAAGTTCAGACTGAGTAGTTTTTGGCTTTTGCTCGAATATAACAGCAATTGAAGTGAAATGGAAAATTACAAATTGGTATATTATTTATGCTGAATTGACAAAACTGTCCTAAATTTTTCGAAAAACATGCACCTGTAGTTATCAAAATCAGAGCTCTCAGATTATATACTAGGTTTAATAATTTTAGTGAAGTCAACAAGTGTAACAAAGTATTATTCTCTTAATGTTAAAACAGAAACCAGATTGAAAAACTAAAACCCAAAAAACAAGACTTGAGTTCTAAAATCTGAAACAAAAAACATAACAGACAATTAAAATGCTTGAAAAATAGAACAAAATAAAACAGTTGTCACGTGACTTTCTTCGTCCTCTCGGCAATTTTGTTCATAATGTCATTGAAGCCAGATTCGTCTTCAACCATAGCTTCTAATTTTTCTTTCTCTTCATCCATACAAGTAAAATCGGCAATTTTTTTATTCACGTCCAGAAGTTTCCATTTGTTTCTATGAATTCGAAGAACATTCTGTATAGTTTCAATGGTATCATATCCAATTTTGCTGCATACTCTCGGTACAGGTAAGGGATCGCCGAGAAGAGCTTTGAGGCACATAGTCATAGATAAAGCTGTGGTCTCCAAGTGGTATCCTCCCTCCAAGGCTAGAAGGATTTTTCCGGAAGCCAATGGCTTCAGAGTATGAACGAAATGTCCGAAAATTTCTGGGGTAAGTTTGTAACCACCCCCAAGTGGATCGAAATATCCACCATCGAATCCTGCTGAAACGATTACGAAGTCTGGATTGTAAGAGAATGCTAGAGGTAGAACTAGTTTGAGCCAGACGTTCCAATAGTCTGTGTCACTCTTATTTCCCTGAAATAAACAACACACATTGTGATAACGTTCATTTTCACAATGGTTTTTAATGAACAGTGATGAACGCATAACTTTCCTTTTCTTATTAATTTATCAGAATATACCCATATACCCAGAATATATCCCAAACATGCAAGGTCTAATTTTCGGCCTTTTTATATATGAGAATGTAGTTTTTCACTTCAGATTAACAAATGGAATATCATAAACAAGGTATTCGAAATCCCCTTGTTACAAAAACATGAAAAAATGGGTTTAAAAAATTCTAAAGTAGGTAGTTTCTTCGCAAATCCTCGCCAAAAGAAATAATTCTTGAACTTAGATCATATAGTAAGTACTAAGCATAGATAAATGCTGAAAAAAAATTTCATTATAACAAAATGGCCATTGTGCCTTCCGTCATAGCAGGATGAATTCCTCAGGAATTGTTTGGTATACATATGTAGTACTAGGATTCCTGAAAAAGTTCACGAAAGAACAAAATATGTATATAACACAGAGGTGAACGATGTTTATGATTGAGCTTTTCAATATAATAGCACGATATTCAAGAATTTTGAATTGAATTTGCCGGTACTTGATGGAAATCCATGGTAAACGTATAAAACTTCAGGAACGATGAAATTTCCTTCTTCAAGTGAAATACCCATATATTAATTGATTTCACTTGAAAAAGCTACTTTGTTTTTGAGCATATTATTGTCGAAATCTTATCGTTTGTGAAGTTTCTTACATCTTATGAATTTGTCGTTATACAGGGTGTTCCTTAATGACATAGAGGGCGATACTTAAACCCATTCGAAGGAACAAACTTCCCATGAACGTATGTCGTTAACGTCCGAACTCTCGAGATACAGGGTGTCAAAGTTGATGAAAATTTTGGTGAGACCCCGAAGGCAAATGGAATAATGATAACATTTGGCCCATCCGATTTCCAGTGGCGCCGTTAGGAGGATATTATTGTTTGTATTGTATCAAAAGGTGAGCAACGAAGGTGAATTTACAAATGTTATACTAAGATAGGCCAGAAAGCACTAAAAAATTGCACAAGCAAACAAAATAGAGGCCTCAAAGAAGTTAACTAAAGGAAGCAGTCACGACAAAAATTCATAAAATGCTTCACTATAGATACATACTGTCGCCATTCATCATGCAGGTCTTCCAAAATGTTGGTCTGCAAGAAGAAAGACTAGAACTCTCTACTGAGTATAGCTGATAAGATCAAAAGTCTAACAGTGAAAACACATTCCATAAAATACTAGCACACGTTTCAAAAAAGTACTAGACAATAGACAGAACCTACGCAGACACTAGAGAGTAAGAAGATTGAAAGATGACTGACTAGACAGAGTCAGATCAGCTCTATCTCATAAATCAAAAATAATAAGACCAAATACCACAAAACTAAGACACTGAAACAGAGGAAATCGTCTCGGGAGACCATACTCAAAACCTGCCAAAAGAAACTTTTGCATGAAAATCTACAGGATTTCAAATACATTCAGACCAGCAATCAATGATAAATTCAGGATTTTGTGAATTTTCACATAAAGATAGGAGGTTATTCGCATCATTTTGCAACCTATGAATTATAGCATAATTATAATCAGGCTGGAATTTTCGGATTGAGGTTGACATTTTTAAAATCTGACTATATACACTGCAATTCTGAATGCGCATTCTGAATAATAAATCGCAAATTAGGATTACCGATTTCTAGTCTAGATTAAGTATAGATATGAATGTTATAATCATCAATAGTTTTATCTAAACCAAGACAAATTCTGACTGACTGTTGGGTAAGTTGAATGGCTTGACCATGATTGAGTAAGTTAAATTGCTCAACCATGATTCATATATAAATACAAAATTGGTTGAAGGAAGAACCTACATAAGAATGTAAAATGTTTTTATTGGTTCAATGAAATTTCTATCTATCATTTTTTGACACTGAATAAGACTCACCTTATTGAAGGGAATGTTGACATTATATCCCTTTCCTTGACCTTCTCCAGTATGAGAATAGTCTGCCTTATTGCTCGAAGGGAAGAACTTTCCCTCATCATAACGATGCACAGAAATATACATAATGTCAGACCTGTTATATGTCAGGTTCTGGGTTCCATCACCATGGTGAATGTCGAAATCCACAATCAACACTCTGAAACAATTAAAAATAATCACAAATAAAATAAAAAATGGTTAAAGAGGATAACAATATATTTAAATACTGTCTTTAGGTTACTCGAGGAGGTGGTACATCCATTTTGCTAGATTATTTGAGATTGTCTCCGTTTCTATTAAATAAAATTATGAGTACCTATTATTTCGATATATGTGTAGTAGGACAAATCACATGATTTGCCCCAAAATGTCACTGCATATAATTTGTTTTCTATCAGGGAGACAAAATAGCATAGCATCATGATAATATTATGAATCTGTCACATGGAAAACACTTGAGAAATGATAAAAGCATGAGTTTAGATGTTGAAAAGTTGGGTAGAACATTCTTATAATAAAAGTTGGAAATTTGAATAATAGTCCACTCGGCAGGTCGTGGAAAAGGGGTGTCACGTCGCAAAATTCAGAAGTTAATGAAATTTGCGTATGTTGTTTGCACATATTCTGTGATGTCAAACCCAAGTTTCAATCTCGAGGAGGTTGTGGAAAATTTTTGGCTGCCAAAAAACCTCGATATTCTCAGACTTGTTTCAGTTTTCATCTCATATCTCGGAAACGTCCAATTCTACGTAAAAAGCCACGAAACACTAAGATGAAGAGGACAAAATTCCCAGGCAATCAAGCGAAAAAAAAAAGGAATCACCGGTGGTACCGTAGGAAAGTTTTCACGGGCAATCAAAGAGTGGTGATTTTTCCCTCTTTGGTAAATACTGCCATAGACCCATTTTCAAAGTACAGTATAATTGTCTACCCCCGGCTCTAGAAGTTGAAGAGCATCAATCGGAGAGCTCGAAATGCACAAGAAATTTATAATTGGCCCAATTTTTGAAATTGTATCTACTGTTTTTCCAAAATTGGCGTTCCTCGAAAATCGCTCCCTGTTGATTCTATGCTCTTTCCTTTGGCTAATACTGAACCCCAATGACCCATAATCGCCTCGTGATAATATTCCGTATCCAATACATTAATATCTAGGGACATAAAAACGATGTATCTATATATACAGGTTGTCCCTGTAAGGTCTGTTCAAAAGCTTAGCACATGAGGGGCCTGAGGTCATAAAATTCTGTTTTTGCAGCTCAAGCTATTTCCATAAAAAAAATTAATCTGGTAATTCAAAAACTTTTATCAAAGATTACAAGGTTACAATGAAAATGTTTCAATAGTTCCTGTAAAGTTCAAGTTGTCCTTGACTTGAAATTTGATATTTAATTAGTTAACGATTTGTTAGGGCACGGGGCCCTTCATGTTACATGAGAATCCGTTCATAACTCTTTTCGACGTCATTATGACCATGGGCACTGGCACCTACAGTCAATTTTATCTTCACTCCATGTAAGTCCAATGTTATGTTTTCGCCAATATTGAATGATGTTATGGTTATCTTTGTAGTATTTACTGTCTTGATTGGACTGAAGATGGATTTTTATAAATCCGGAACCTGTCCCCCTGAATAACTTAAATCATTGAAAAAGTTGTGGAGATGACTTTGAGCATTTCCTTCCTTTGTAATATGTCTATAATACATATCAGATATGAGAACAGGAAAATATTGTTTTACGTATCAGAAATGTACTTGTGTTTGCTGAAAATTATTGATTTGAAACAAAGGTGCCCTACCTCTTGTAATTCTCCTGTTTGATGAGATACTCCGCAGCGATCACCACATTATTCACGAAGCAGAAGCCAGATCCGCTATCGAAAGAAGCGTGGTGTCCTGGCGGACGTATCAGGGCAACTCCTGCCCTGACAGAACCATCGTGAATGCTTTTGGCCAGCGAAAGGATACATGAAACGCATTTCAGGACACATTCACCCGTGGCTTCATTGAAAAACCAATCGGGCTTCTCGCGAAGGTCTTTCTGGGTCGAAAGACTGTTGGAGTATCCCTCGTCGTGAGTAGATTTTATCCACTCAGCTTCTTTGAACTTGGAGAGCTAAAAATCAAGGAGAAGTTATTCAAGAGCTGGAAAGTAAGAGGAGCAGTTATACATTCATGTCTAATTCAACATCCATCGTACCAGCTACGGAACCAAAGTTGGATACCCACAATGTTTCATAGTGAGCCCTCATAAATTATGATTCTTTAGAGCTGAGTCCTACAGTGGAATAGATCACCATACACAGGGTGACATAGAAAAAGGTACATTGCATAGTGCTACATAATAGAGGACAAAAAAATAAGAAAAAAAGTTTTCATGAACACGGGTCCGCAAGGCCTTCGGTTGAAAGATACGGGGTGTTGAATTTCATTATTTTTTTATTTTTTTTCAAAAACAATTATAAATACTTTAACAATTACATTTGAATACCTTTAAAAATTATCACATTAGTTTGACAAGTGTCATTATGACACATTATTTGAGTGTTATTTATCATTGTTTCCTCAAAGGTTACTTTGGTGCTTTTTGAATGATTTGCGTGCATTGTCGGCTTTCAGATCCATTTGTACTGGAACCATTGTTTCTATAGCAACTTGGACATGATATACCTTTGTTAAGGATAGAAGAAGGGTTAACAATTTTTTTTCAGTCGAAAATGACATACAGTGTATAGCAAAAAAAGTTAGGACCGATTCAATAGTGATGGAACCCTGTATGTAGCGCCCTCTATCAGTAATGAAAAAACTGAGATTATATTTGAATTTACCATGATAAAAAACCCCTGTATACCACATTTTATCCATTTCTTGCATCTCTGGCTAGACATTCAAAAACACTAAAAAAAAAATTCAAATTCAACACCTTGTATCTTTTCCGAAGGCCTTGCGGACCCGTGTTGACAGGAACTTTATTCTTATTCTAGTGTCCTCTATTGTGTGGCACTATGCAATATACTTTTTTCTATGTCACCTTGTATATTCGAAATTAGAAGTGTCTAGGTGTGGAATTGTTCAGATGACATTAATGTAATTCTTTGAGATAAACTTACTTCGATTTTCTTGCATCTTTCCAATAATCCAAACGTTTCGAAACACTTCATTATTTCCAACAATCTTTCAGGTTTCTCAGGAGGCGATTTTGCAGTTTCATGAGTTGGACTATGTTTCAAAAGCTGCTCATCATAAACATAGCCAATGTCCGTTTGGTATTTGCGACCATTAGCATAATCTGGAAGCCCACATATTCTTATAGAGAATTACTTTTTGTAGTAAAATTCATACAAAGTTGAAGAAGAACTCTAAATTGATTTTTTTTCCATCAACCATCTCAAAATGACATAAAACAATCTTAGACTAGTATGTACTTTGTTGGAGTGTGTAAGCACAACTGGTCATCGACCTCATGATAGGTCCTTTAGCCCATATTTATTATGTGTATGTATTATTACTGATTTCATACGTTATCACTGGAGCAGAACTGTTAATTTGAACGCACCAGTGAATCCTACGTTGTCATCTCTATCAGCCAAATCAATATATTCAGAATGTATAACTCAATATGAATCAAATTTATCTTGTCAAGACTGGGGATAAAACCGAGTACGCTAGGATCAATAGTTCCGATCCAATCAATCTGAGTGATGGTGAATATGTGTTTATTTTCATTATTGGAAACATGAACTTGCATCGCTATTTGTAGCAAACACCATCACGCTACGAACTGATAGATCAATTTCTTTATAGGGGACGGTCCATTACAACAGAGCTTATCGAACGTCAAGTCATATCAACCAGAACTCAATTTTATTAGCCAAATTTTCAAACTAATTTCATTCGAAAGTTGATAGCAGTTGGAAAAAAGTTCAGTATTCCACAATATGCTATGTGTATTAGCCTTTTTAAATTCTTTAATGCTTCAGAATTTTGTGAATGCTCCTCAATTTTGTACTCACCATTTCTCAGACTATCCACAATATCCATATTTTTCCTGTACTGTTCTTCCGATGGGATAGGATAGAATCCAGTTGTTTCAAATTCAACCATATTCTGTAGTTGGTGAAACTTATAAGACAGACAAGTCAAATGTTCTCCTTCCTCAAGCTTCATTCGAGCCACTAACTCAGTTCGTTTTGGATATTCAAATTTTATATCAGTTTTGAAGCATTCCCAATAATCCCGCAAGAAATACTTCAAATTATTCAGAACATCGGTTAAAGCGGGATGAACTGTTGGGTTAGCGAGCAAATCAATTGGATAGCAGGCGTCTCCAAGTAACGCTTGGAGGGTGTTACAAACCCCTTCAGCAAGAGATTCTGGGAAGTAACCTCCTTCCAGACAAACTACGACTTTTCCTCTTGCTAGGCCAGAGAGAAGAGTAATCAGGCTGGCGTAGAAATGTGGAGTTACTAGCATTTCCCCCTAGAATATAATTTAGTCTATTTATGGACACACCAGCGTTGTGGTGAAAAAATTTGAATAATCATTGATATCTCAATACGTCTATCTCGATACGATATTCATAGACACTCTATGATGAAAACGGATGAAATTCAAATTCGTCACAGTCTATCATTGGCATTCAGAGAGTCAACATCTTTTTTACCAGCTCTTGTGAATAGTACAGTGATAAATAGTAGAAAGTTCATAATGCCTACTGAAAGTGATGGAAGTTATAGTGAGATGGAAGTAGAAGACGACGGAAATTGGAAAAAAGTGAAAACTAAACGAAGACCTAAATCACGTGAAGAAAATATACCTAAGAAGGCAAAACAATTAACAACTCGTGAAATCAATGAAATTATATTAGGTGCCAGCTCCAGTACTAATGAACAAACCACAAAAACCTCGCAGACGAATATAACATCAAAAAACCAGTCCCATCTCGAACACACCACACAAAAAACATCCACCTATAAAAAATTATCAGCAGTGAATTATTCACCAAAGATGAATCAGATAATGAGTCAGCTATACAAAAATATGTTCTATGTTACCACAAATAAAAACTTGAATAGATCGGACCTTGCAGACATGTGGAGTACCTGGTTCCCGGATACTAAGGATGTTATTTCAAAAACCACTAAAGGATTCCTTATAATCCTTAGAAAATCTAACAATGATAAGAATCTGCTGAAATCATTTTTAGAGGATTTAGCACAGGAAAAGAAAATTGACTCTTTTTCGGAAACTCACGAAAACCACCATACTCCAACAAAAACATCACAAGCAACATATGCCTGTGTTATCTCCTCAGTAGAACTCGACATATCAGATGAGGTAATCAGTAAAAATCTGACTGAAAACAATATATTGCACAGATATTGTAAACGAATCACATCCATCACCACTGGAAAATTAACATATTTCATTAGAGTTATCTCTGGTGATCTACCTTCTTTCGAAAAATTAATGAATGAAGGAATTTTTTACAAATATCGTCATTATCCAGTCTACCCTGGTGCTCCTCCAGCACCCATGCCGATCCCGTGCTCCAAATGCTCACTTCACACCCACACTACAGAAAAATGTGATTCACCCCTCAAATGCAGAATATGTCAAGGCAAACACTCCACAACCTCATGCACCTCTCCACTACCACCAGAATGTGCAGCTTGCAATTCTGAAAATCATGAAGCCTGATCTTCAAAATGTCCTAAAAGACCTACACAACCTATAGATGGAATCCCTATAAAAGTCAACTAACAAAAGATCTCGTGATATGAATCCCAAAACTACGAGAAACAATAAAATCCACACTTCAATAACACTTCATGACCATATCATCGAAACATATGTCAACAAACTGAACAATAGTAGAGGTTCAATCGGTCGATTTTGAAGGTTCGCGGGATTTGGATGATTGAATGTAGCGACTTATCACATCTCGGAGAGGGGTCCCTGGACAATATGAATCCACTTGTTGGACATCTCAGATACGCGTCATTCGCCCCCTGCACCCCCTTCAAGGGTGAAATTTTCAAACGCCAATATCTGCGTTATTAATGAAGTTACAGAAGTGGAAAAAATATCAAAATACTCGGAAATAAATTGCCTATAAAAATGTATTCGATGGTTTGTAGCGATTTCTGTATTTTTACAGAGATATTTTGAAAGAGTCGTGAAAAAATATGTTTGACATCTCATTCATTTCAAATAACTCGATAATTAAAGGATTCTCAGCAAAAATACACCAATAAATAATGATTCATCATACTTTCATATATAATTTGATATATATAACTATATATATATATATATATTGACATTCGTATATCGGATTAAATGAAAAAAATAGTTTTAATTGATATTGGTACACCTAAGGAGCAGTTCTTCAACTTAAAATTATAAACAATGATGGTTGGAACGACAGTCTTGTCAGAACATGAATTCAATCGGATGATTCATAGTAGGTATATCAGACTATTTCGAAATATAATGAATTTTCATAATTATTTAATTATTTTTATTGATGATTTATATTATTATGATGAATATTTCATCTTCAACTTTTGTTCAACCTCAAAGGATGATTCAAGGTCAATTCCAAATCATTATTAATTCTTAAACTCATATTGCATGTCAATTGTTCATCCCTATTTCATGTCCTAACTTGTCAGGACTTCGAGGCGAGGTGTGCGAGCGCGCAAGATGTTCGAACCTGTTAGAATCATTCAGTCTGCTGAAAGGTTTTACCAGAGCGAACGGTCGTGTTTATTGAACATTTATAGAGAATCGCTGAAAAATGACTTCGTTTCTTGAAATTAACTACTCTTCGTGCTTCATTTGTCAGCAGGATACTGAAGAGAAATTAGTTAAAAATCCTACTGGATATGGGAAATTATTTGAGTGCATGAAATCAAGGAATAAGTTCAGAGACCCTGCTCATATACACTTGAAACATATAATAACTACAATCTACAATTACTGCACAAAATATGGAAGATAACTCGGCAACTTGGTATAGAACGTGTAACAGTAAAATTACCCATAAAAAAGAAATGACACGAATACAAAAACTGTTATCCACTGAATCAAGCTCCAGCAGGGAAACCAACATCATATTGAGATCAAAAATCTCTAAGAGAGATAAAAATGCTTGTTTCTTTTGTGAAAAGTATGCTACCAAGAAATCGAATTTATCTACTGTTATGACCGATGATGCTGGCAAAAGAATGCGTGATGCAGTTCTCTTAGGAAATAACAAAGAAGTCATAATAAAATTGTCAGAATTCATTTCTGAGAATGATGCACATGCTTATGATATTAAATATAATTCATCGTGCTGGACAACAAATGTTGTAAATATTCTTAGAAAACAGGAAAATAAATCTTGTCATGAATTTTATGATGAATTAGTTGCCTCAGAAGTATAGTTGCTCAGTAGATTGAGAATTACTTTATTTTCTGGATCAATAACCAATATGGAGGAAGTAGAAAATCTTTATAACGAAATTTGCACAAGCAATGACCTACCTGAACAAATCAGAAAAACCAGAAAATATCTGAAAAACTGTATTATAGATGAATTTCAGGATGACGTATATTATGCATTACATGCATTGTCTGGTTGTGACAGTACAGGAGGTTTTTTAAAAAAAGGTTCGCTTTGCATCCATAGCATAATCTTAAAAATCTGGATTGGATCTCCAAATGCTATACAATCAAGGATCTGAATTAAATATCTTTCTTTCTTAAAAATATAAAATTTTCAGGTAAACTGTCCTTCTGGAATAATTTTTGAAGGCATTGATTTCCCTTGGCAACAGTGATATATCGGAATTAATGAGATAACATTGATGACATTGTGAAATTTCTCTGCCAAGTTTATTATCCGAAATCTGTCATTCAAAATTTGGCAGAGCTGAGGTGGTGGTGTTTCTCAAAAAAGCAGCTACAAAGTGACCAATTGCCACCAACAAGATCTAGTTTGATTCCGGCATTAATGAGATCTAGATTGCAGATTCTGATCTGGAATAACTCACATATTCCAAAACCTGCACTTCTCAATGCAGAGGACTTTAGATGGGATGACGAAAATGGTGTATTAGTGCCCATCACATGTACAATTAACTGTGCCCCTGATGAATTATTGAATTTAATCCGATGTGGATGCAAGAAAACAGCATGTAATACAAGGATGTGCAAATGCCTTATGAATAAATTGAAATGCACTGAGATGTGCGAATGCGAATCGGCATCTGACACTTTTACTAATAATATAATGTACTCGAATGAAGACATAGATGATGATTCCAGCAGCGAAAATGAGTAGTTTATTTTTTTATGCATGTTCTAATATCTTATATATTTCAAGTTTTTTGTTCCAACGACGAAAAGATTAAAAGTTTTCTTCGTAAACTTGTATTTTCTTGATTTACACCTTGAAATCCAGAGTACACATTGGTTCTTTTTAATAAAAAAAAACATTATCTTCGAATTATTTTTGTCGAATATGTAACCACTATGATATCTGCATGTCCTAGGGAAAATATATCATTTCAAATGTTGACCTGTAGTGCACCACTGACATACCACTATAATTTAAAATCCATTTTCTCTATTGAGGTAATTCAGAAATATCGATATGAATATACCAAATTATAGCTGAAAGTATATTGAATCTTTTATTATTGAGGAAGTTTTATTTAAAATCCTCTATTTTTCGAGTTATAAGAAAAATTAAATGTAAAATATATGTTTTTTTTTCATATTTTTCAAATATCTCAACAAATATAGAGAAATTGATAGAGACCATGGAAAAAGTTTTTGTAGGCAATTCATTTCCAAGTATTTTGATTCTTTTTTCATCTCTGTAACATGATTAATAACGGAGATACAGGTGTTTGAAAATTTCACCCTTGAAAGGGGGTGCAGGGGGTGAATGGCGCGTATCTGGGATGTCCAACAAGTGGATTCAGAATGTTAGGGACCCCTTTAAAATGTGTAATGGGTCGCTATATTCAATCATCAAAATGCCGCGAAAAACCGATTGAACCTCTCTACTACAAATCAAAAAATGTAAACAGGCAAGAGCTAATAATACTATATTTCATCTACAACTATTCAGATATCGAAGCAACTTTGAGGGTTCAGAAATATATGGTGATAGTTAATAGGTATCGTAAATCTAATTTGAAACGCTGTCCTCGAAAACTAATTGGTAAAGAAAAAGTCACTTATAACTTATTCAAATGATTTTTATGTGAAAATGATAAAACATGCTAAATCTAACTTCTTTTTAATTAACAGGGAAAACGCGTGCTAGCACAGCAGTCATGTGAGATCGTATTATGACATTTCAGTGTGTGAAATGAATCACACTATTGTAGTTTATTCATTTAAGAACAAAGTACCTACAATTTTTTTCTGGATAAGTATCTATGTTGAAACAAATATTTTTTAAATTCAATAGGGAAAATTCCAAATATTCAATTTTCAACCATCCGAATAAAATACATCATTCACGTTCAAAATTTGGGAAGTAAATTTTTGAAATAAATAAAAAACTATAGATTATCTTTCTCATGCTTCATTCCACATTTGAGAGCGAAATTTGAAAATGAAAAAAGAGAGGTTATATAGGTATATTCTAACATGGACATGACAAGAAAAATTATTCAAATATCAGAATACTTCACAGTGTTGGAAATATCTGAGTATTTTGATGTTAACCCTTGAATACTTTGTTTCATGTCTATATGAGTATAACCTATATAAACTTCCTTAGTATGAAATTGATGTTCTCACGTCGTCCGAAACATGTGCCCATGTACATAAATCGATTTTAATAGTTCAATCAAATGTTGTGTAGATGTCTTGATGTCGTTGTTTTCGAATGATGTCACTCCACTTTGTGATATAATGGAATTCTACCAACTACCATGGTTAATTTTAGTACATTATACCATGTATGAAAGAATTACCGAACATATATTTTTGATGGCGAATCATTCATATAAAGAAAACATAAAAGGCAGACGTCACAGTTTTTGAGACAAGCTTAATCTCACCTTTTCATCTCCCAAACAAGAGTCAAAACCAGCCGATATTATCACTAAATCAGGGTTGAACTAGAAAAAAATACAAATATCAAAAATATAATTACCTCTGGACATCCTATAGCTGAATCAAACCCAGCAGATATTAAGATAAGATCCGGATCAAACTGGAATAGAAACGAATTCATCAATGTATATGAATATATTTATCAAATGTTCATGAATTCAATCGAACATAAAATAAATAAATAACTATTCAAGTTCAACGTTTTCCATTGTATGGACCCATATAGTAGATGATGTGCTGAAAGCGAGAAAATAATTATAGGTCAGCAATATCAGACTTTGATCAACCTACAATGAAACCATGGAGCGCGAAATCAATCCGGTAACTATTACCTATTAATATCACCATTAACATATTCGATACCGATTTGCCAGAACATCGTCGTGAATGTTCAATTTTACAGGAGAGTCGTTTTATTGATATCTCATCTGTGAATTGCTTTTCAAGTCTGATATTTCAGATATGAAGGTTATGGTATAAGTGGTGTGTAGAAATATGGTCAATTTTGAGAAGGAATATTCTCAGATAAATTATGAACATGATGTAATGGATATATATATATAAAATTACAATTCGCATTCTCTATGTGATGAAAATATCAATTCTTTGTCGGTTTATTCAACAGAAAACAACTACTTTCCTGACTATATGCCACGACGATCATTGAATTATATCTATTGAACACACACAATGAGAATTTGAAAACAGAATCTTCTGAAGTTGAGAAATCATTCTGAATATTCTACAGAAATCTACTTTCCAGGTTGTTTGTCACGTCGAACATTGAATTATATCTGTTGAACATCCAAAAAGAGAGCATAAAGAATAAAAATCCTCTGAAATTGAGAATTGACATTCTCTCTCAAATCTGATGAATAAAATGAAGTATTATGATATCAAAATATATCTTGCATCGATATGTTGAGTATTGAAATGAAAATTGAAATGTATAGGAGAAGTATACTTGTATAAAATCTGATCTTGATGAGCTGCTCGGATTTCAACAATACCATGTATGAACTGAGCATGACAGTTTATAACTCACTTGTTCTTGTTCTCCTATACACTGGATTGTGGCATGTTATGACATAGATATTAAAGTGATGTCACCAGAATTTGAGGTTCATTGAAAAGTCTACAAAAAGCATTCAGTTGGATTGTTAGATAAACTCATGTCCAAACAACTAATTGAGAAATAGACCAAATTTCGTCGCTGCTGATCGAACCTACAATGTGCTACACATTACTCGATTACTAATCATGTCAGCTATAGAATAATTGGAAATTAGGAAAACAAAAAACAACCTATTACCATAAACATACTGTATTGATGACATTTACTTCATCAATGAACATCAAACTATTTCACCAGTTCACAGTAGGATCGGTTATAGATTGAGAAATATTTACTTGATATTTCCTTGAAATGAAAGAGCTGGCAACACAGGAAAAAGGATTATCACGTCAGTACTGGCTCCGGTACTGGCATTCAAATGGTGTTTTTTTTGAAATATTACAGCATATTTTATAAAAAAATTGATGCATTCATGTTCATATGCACATTTGAATTGAATTCACGCATTTGTGTCCTTGCATATTAATCATTCTGTTATATGTTATACTTTGATGCTAAGCAAAATTTCCGTATATCGTTTCTTTACCAAAGCCCATATTTGAGTATATTATTGGTCGAACTAAGCAAAAACACAATAAATTGTCGTTGCATAGCAGAAACATTACAAGAAGGTGATACCTCGAACTATTCGCCGTAATTGTATATCTCCTCCAATATGCGATATTCTTATTTAGTATAACATTCTATCACGCTTGTAGGGCTCGTTCTAGCCATTTGTATATGTATATGATCTGATTATGACGGTGTTTCGGCTACTTTGACAGAATGCGTTTGAGTCTGTTGATCATTTATAGCACCAAATTGCACCATCCCAAAAACGACAAGGCACAACTCATATTATGATTCCCATAATTTTGGTGACGACATATACCTAATTTTTATATCAATTCATAGTAGCCATTGCACAAAACAGGGCAATGTGGTATTCCTGTTAATAGATAAGATGCAATTTTACGAAAACGTGTTGACTTGTTGCCTAAAAACCGAAATGTATTTCGTGTAGAATTGCCGATTTTCGATTGGTCTACAGATCAATAACTTTTGACCACTGGGTTTGTCATAAAAATTGAAGGTCCGACATGAGTTAACATTTTACCTATTTTATGTAAAATTCAAGGTCTTCAGTTAGCTAAAAGCACATCCAACACTTGTTTAAAGCACCTCAAAAATCAGATAAAACAGTATAGTATGCTGTATTTTGAATAATTCATTTATTTTGACAAACGCAGACCATCCTGGTGGCTTCATTTCGAGTTTTCAAATGTTGATTAGAATTTAGTATGTCTACTCCTCAAAAACCACCAGATTCATATTTTCAAGCGAATCTAATGAGAAATAGCAGGCTCGTCCGCCATCTCAGAGGCGCCATCTTGAATTTCCAAATGTCGACAATTAAATCGTGATCCTCGAAATATTTGCAGGACGAACATCATGAGCAACAACAACTTACGGAAAGTGAATCTAAACTCATCTGTTCAGAAAATTGAGCCCTTAGTTTCTCCACCATTGAAACATCCTTTTTTGATATGCAAGTTTCCAGTTTTTCAGATCTGATGAATCCTTCCCCAAAATTATGACTAAAAATGATAAAATTTCGGCCAACTGCAGTGAATACTTCTACTTTGAGCCGACGAACTTTCCGGATATTCTACTGATATATAGATATCCTTGTTCATTTTGAATTTTAGGATTATGTGGAATTTACAGGGTGGTCTGTTCAACTTGGGACAGCCACATTTATCTGATTTTTTTTAAATGAGTGTTTTTTAACCGAATAGACTGGTGGATAGTATTGATTGTTATTAACAAACTCACCTCGTAGGCAACTGGAAGCAGTATGTTAAGTACAGTTGCTAAATATTCAGAATCTCCTAATCCAGTAACATTCAATGGGACATTTATGTTGTATCCTCTACCTGGCCCTTCTCCTATGTAATCTGAATCGCTTTCTCTCAAATTTGGCCAGAATTCACCATGTTCATAACGATGAATCGAGAAATATAATACACTAAAAAAAATAAATGCATTTTTTGTTATCACTTCCGCAATAAATGCCCAGGTCGCAAAAGTCGGTAAAATCAAGAATCGAATAGATTGATTCTGAATTGTTAAATCATAAAGTGATATATCGAAGACTGGAACCTTTGTCACGATAATCATAATACATTGTTTTACCGATTTTTAACGCCTCGACACGTGTTTCGATAACTATAATAACATCTTCAACAGTTTCAATCTTCTCCTGAACATGGTAACATAGTTAGCGATACACGTGTCAAGGCGTAAAAAAATCGATTTGGTTAGTGGTAAAACAGTGTATTGTAATAAAGTAATAATTTATTATTGGAGAATGTTCAAATTTGTGAATGTCATCTATATCTGAATTAAATCTATCAATATCAAATCAATAGTTTTATGATACAGCAGTGTCGCGATAATACAGAACAAACAAAACCACCAATTAGGATCATCAGATTATTCGGATTATCAAGACATTTTATGAACTTTTAGAATTGAATTAAAATCCAATCAGTTGCAATAAACCAGCAATAATCTTTGTAACAATAAAAGAGTAACTTTTTTGCTATTGTTACATACCCACCCTTTAATTTGATAAGATTCGTTTTCTAACTTCGCTTATCCATACTTAAGGGCTAGAGATTTTCCATGACCTAGACTTCTTCTGGAGACTCAAATTGTGTATGCGTTTATTATAACCGCCATTTTCGATGAAAGGGCCCGTACTGAATGATGCTGTAGATTGTAATACATAACTACCTACCTATGCACTTGTACGCACTCACAAACAGAGAAGCAAAATAAAAACGGAATGATTTCATTTTTAAATGTATGTAGAAATTAATGTCACGTAAATTCAGATTACTGAATCAAAATTCGGATTACGAAGTACTTCAATGGAACGAAAATGCAATGTGGATTACAAAGCATACGGACTATCGTGGGATCGGATTATCGCGTCACTACTGTATTCAAAATTCACTAAAAAAATGTTGGGGTTTTTTTCTAGGTGAATGGCTTCGACATAATAACCTCAAAACTTACTCGTTCCTATCGTAGAACATTCTTTGCGTCCCCTGTCCATGGTGCACATCATGATCCACAATAAGGACCTTTTTTGCAAGTCCTTGATCTATTGCAGCTTGGGCAGATACGGCCACGTTGTTCAAAAAGCAGTACCCGCAAAAGGCATCACTCATAGCGTGGTGCCCAGGGGGCCTGATCAATGCCAGGCCATTTTTCAGTTCACCTTTAGCTACTTTTAGGGTGAGAGTCAATGCAGCTTCAGCAGCCCGAATTGAGCATTCAAAGGTTTCCTGAAACCCCCGAAATGATGGTATGTTCATAGAGCTTATTAACATAATATAATTTACATTCCATTTTGACTTAATAGCTGCATTTTCCATAATAAATAGACCACATGAAGTGTATACCCACCGGGAAAAAAACAGGCAGAACAATATTAAGCCAAATCGATCGCCCTGAAACGTTGTCAATTCTTGTCAGAATTCAGTAATATTCCGACCAAATCGTAGATTCATGTTCCGGAATGTCAGCCTGAATTCTAGTTCCCAAGAAAAGCTGATGACTTGACCATTATACCAGCAAAAACAAAAGTACCTCTTTCCCCCTCAACTTCTTAAGGCCCGGCTTCATTATGTTTTGGGTTGAAATATGATCCCGTCTCAACATAATGGTTATGGAATCCACAATTCCAAAAAACCTTCGAAAATCAAAATTGCTCATTGCTCGAGCAATGCACCGACAAAAAACCTCAATTACGAAAAACAAACAAAAATCAGACTTCCTAAATGTCGACAATAAGCCCTCGTCGAGCTTGTATTACAACATTCAACCGCCGAGGCATCGAGTTATTAAATTTCCCAAGTAGTCTTGAGGAATTACCTCGAATTCTCATTGAAGGGCGAATCGAAGTTTTCGAAGAGTCTATGGCAAGGCCGGACGAAGACGAATGCGCCTCTGGAATTCATCCGAAAGATGTTCTATAAGGATTGAGATCCGGACGGTATGCTGGTCGAGTCTTATTAGAATTCCCACGTCATTCAAATATTCGAGTTACAATTGCAAAGTGATCTGGCGTCGTCATGCATTAAGACAAAGCCGTCTCCAATAAAATGAGAGAATATGGGACGACTGCTTCTTGTAGAATATCATCCACTAACTGTGGAAGTGTGGAGCTAAATCATATCACAAGCTCTCACACAGGACACCGCCCTCTGAAGTACCACCTCAAAAAGATGAGCCTGGCGGAGACTGACACTTGCCGCTTTTCCAACAATGCGACCGAAACCACTGAACACATACTTTGCTCATGTAAACTTTTAGTCCACCGAAGGCTGAATTACCTAAAACAGGTCTATCTCACGCCTGCTGAGGTGGAAAATTCAACCGTCAGGAAAATTCTAGGCTTCATCAGAAGTCTAGGGTTATAGGACCTAAACTAGATAAGGGTAATCACAATAGATTTTTTCAGGTCACAGTGATCGAGAAGTCTCCCAGCCTATACGACCCATATACTATCTACAATCTACAACTGTAGAGGTTTAATGAAACATTTTCCACAAATATAAGGTGAAAAATATTGAGAATCCATACTTTCTCAGACAACGATTTGATCGAAATTTCATCAGATTCGGAAAAAAATTGGAAAAGTTACAGGGCGATCAATTTTGCGTGTGCAAATGTTTATCTAGCCGTTTTTCTGCCGGTGAGTTATTTTAAATGAGATTCTATGAACACATCAGAGTGAAAGTAATCCCAACCATCAAGATAAGTTAAAATTTAATTTGTATTAAATACAAGTTATTTTTCATAATCAGACCATGAATCTACTTTGAAACAAAAGTTCGCTGGAAAAACACTACCTTTATTATATGAGTGTTTCAGATGTTCATCGGAAAAATCCGATAGACGGTATATGTATAATATGGAACTCACCAAAATAAAAAGAAAAGTTCATAAACTTGTACGTTTGGGAGCTTCGTTTTCGAGATACAGGATGTTAATGGTGAAAATATCAATTGCCTTTTTCAATTATTACCCTGTATCAGCTTACATAATAGGAAAATTCAGTGTGAGCGGTGACTTATGCTTATAGAGTAAAATCGATGGATGTCTGAATGCACTTACTTTAGAACTTGGATTAAAAATAACTCATGAAACAAGAACGTTCCATTAATATTGTCAAGATAATAACTTCTGCGTACGGTCTTTTAAAAACTCAACTATCCGATTTTGAAAAACAAATAAGCAAATGAAATGATCCATCAGATACTACAAGGTGACACTTAAGATTTCTTTTTCCAATATTTCTTTTTCAAATGGCATTGATTTTTTTTAACCAAGATTTTTTTCTGAATACTACAATGATGTATGAAAAGTTGACATTCGCGCAAAATGAGTTGGCAAAAATTTATACTCCGAAACTAACACACTCAGATACATAACTAATGTCTCCAATCACTATTTTCAACACAAAATGGCAAGTTTAAATTTCCTAGTACATAGACTAGTTTCATTTCCTCTGAGCAGACAAAGATTCGATGTTGAAAGGAGTGTTGTTTATAAAGTACATAGACTAGTTTCATTTCCTCTGAGCAGACAAAGATTCGATGTTGAAAGGAGTGTTGTTTATAAAGTGGCTGGCGTCAATGGTTATGACATCAAAATAGTAGATAAATTAATACGTAGACATACATTTAAGTTAACACTCAGGAATTCTACTTTTCAAGCGGATAAAAACAATTCGAGAATAATCCCAATCCCGTTCAATCCCAAGTACACAAAAGGACATAAGGTTTTCGAAGACTTGGGTTTTGAAAGCGTTCATCAGTTTGAGTCAAAGTTAGGCAATTTATCAGGTAATCCAAAATATAAGGTGGACACACTTGAAAAGTCAGGTATATACGAAACTAGTTGTTATGATTGTGATAAAACATATATAGGCCAAACCAGGCGTCCCATAAAAACAAGGTTGAAGAACACTCAGCACATTTGAAATATGGTAGGTTAGATAAATTGTGTGTAGCCGAACACATGTTCAATCACAATCTTAACACACATATCAGTAAACTCAAATTAGTTAAGCAAGTTCATAATGTTAGGAAATTAGATGCGTATGAAAGCTAAAAGATATTTAAGAATAGTAATACAGTCATGAATAAAGATAATGGACCTATCCCATTTATTCCTCTGTATAGTTTATTGATATAAGACCAAGGTTTCAACAGGTGAACTCAACCATGACTAACATTAACTTGACGTTTACTGTCTATTCACGGTTGGGAGGACATATACCTAGTATATAAGTAGCACACTAGGCTAGAAAATTTGGTTTTAATCTTCTCCTGAAGATACTAATACAGTTAGCAAAACACGTGTCGAGGTGTAAAAAGTCGGTTTGGTTAGTGGTAAAACAGTGTGTAGTGAATTATCGTGCTAAAAGGTTCCAGTCTTCGATATAACAAAGTTTATGAAAAAATATTTTCTTATTTTCGCGACTTCTATCGCCTATTGAATTTTCCCGATTACAATCTGGAATACCCTGTGAAAAATGGTTAGTGGATTCCGAAAAACATGGAAATATGCGTTCAATGTTTTAGAGCAATCCGACTAAGTTTACGAGATTCATTGAAATTGAAACATGCAGAGATCCCTCTGTGTAGGCAAAATAGAATCTGCAACTCTCAATGTTGCTAACTGCAGCAGAATTTATAAGATGAAATAAACGTTCGATCATTTGCGTCCGATATACGATTTTGAAACAGTTGAATTTCTTTTACCATCTTTGAGTGTGAATTCGCCACCCATAGATCTACATACGCATGATAATAAAATATATTATCACTTTTACCTTCGCAGCCAACAAGCTACTGACGACGCCTCGACAAATTCGATAGCACACAATAATTTTATTATTTTATTTCCTATGGTGTTGTGATCTCCGAAAATAAGATATTAATTTTATTGTTTTCAAAATTGGCTGAAAACATAATTTCAAACCCATTAGTCGTCATCAATCCCAATCACGGTTGCAAGCGTGATAAAAGGGGAAAGGGATTGCTACAAAAAGCAAAAGGTTCTTAATGTAAATATTCTCCCTAATCCATCAAATTCGTGAAAAAAAAATTGAAACTTCTTCGTATTCTCATTTGGATTACCCTGTATAGTTATAAAAATATTGTTTCGACAATAGGTCTAGATTTCGCCCTGTTCGGTCTACTACCTTTCTCAATATTTGATTTTGAAGAATGATGAAAAAATCAGGTGAACTCCTTCATCCTTAGGTCCTTAGGTATGTTCTTTTTCACACCACATTTTCATCATTGATGGAAGTGACAAAATTGTGATGTCATTTATATTTTTTATACTCATTATCATTTCAATTTATACATTTAAACTCACATTGCAACCTTGAAGAGGAAAATAAAAATTTTCGAATGCTTGGCATAGCAATAAAGTGGTTTGCTTGTAGCCCGATTGACTTGACTCCCCGATATTTTCTATTATATATATATCATAGTTTGACCAGCCAAGGAAGTCCTGGGACGAAAGGGAGAGGATGAAGGCGTCTACTCCTCGGAGCCTAGAGTATCTAAACAATTCGGTTTTGTAGATGTCGTCGATTTCAACAAGTCATGAACGATATGACTGAGTACACTTTTGAATTGATACCATCATTTTTAGCGAGCGCTTGAGATTTCATTGTTAAATTGACAGCGAGTTGATGATCGCAACATTCATATTGTGAATGTAAAAACTTCACAAACGATATTGTTTTGTGAATATCCCTTTTTCGCTGTAAGCGGGAATAGATTCACTTGACTTTGAGTGGACTGCTTTTGATGTATGCGTTGTGCGTGAGAGTTTGATGTTCTTACCGAGTTTTCTTCCAACGACGTAACCACACGTAACTGCAGCCGGCCGGCGGTAAAGCAGAAGCACAGGATAGTTCGGTAACACGCACCTAATTTGTCCTGTTACACGTCACTAAAGTACGCGCCAAATCACTTAACTAAGATTGGTGGGAAATCACTGAATTGTTAGATCATAAGATCAATGATGAGATGAAAGTTGATCTGAATATATCAAGATCAGTGGGAAAACATGAGAGTCAAATTGATTGATTCGACAACAACAAAACGTGGTTGCGGTAGCTGTCGAAGTCAAAAAATCGTCTGTCCTTTTCACTTGTTATACCCAAAAAGTTCAGGGGGCGCTCGCGGCGGCCTTAACATTAAACTCTCGGACTCGCGAAAGCATACATACAGGGAGGATGAGTTTAGTGAATAGTATT